TCACCAGTAGGCAAACCGTACTCATCGTGTTCAGGTTTGGATATGTGATGAGACCGAGCCCGAATGATACGAGGACCTCGCCATTGGTTGTAGACCATCTTGACCTGTCCAGCAGCAGTTCCGAGCCTGCATAGTTTGCCACTCGCCTGCTCCAAGCGTGGCTGCGTGCTTATACTGGCTGGCGCATGCTTCAGATCTAGCTGACAACTTCCAAGCGCTATATATATAGAGAGAGATCGCTGAACGACCCGCGTTCGCTCCCCAACATTTCCGCGCGACGTCTTCTTGCACTGCATGAAAGTGTCCCCGACGAGCCTGTTGCCGTACACATTAGCATGATAAATACGATCGTACGGGATTGTGTCCGCCCATCGCTTTCGGTGACATTGGCAGCACCATCCACGTGAGCTGCTTTGGTAGCAAACCCTACGTGTAACTCGCCGCCCATCAGCACTCCAGAACTGCGAGCCCTTCATTAAGCAGAGATTGGTAGTGGGAGGGGTGAATGCCGTCCGTGCAGATGTCGCCACCGAGGTAGACTTCCACAGCACCTTGTGAACACCTCCAGCATCCTCCACTATGCGATGAGGGTGGGATGGGAACTGCTCACAACTACCATCGACCATTGGGGGAGCCTGCGCGTCCCGCTATGCCGTAATTCTATGAGGCCGGCCTACACCGTTTTCGCTTGCACCGTCGAGCCATTGTTTCCATCGTTGAGTATTGTCTCGGTATGTTGCCTGCTTCTCCACTCCAAAGTCCTCAGCCGCCTCCTCAAGTAGATGCTGTATGTCCTCCGCCGTCGTAATTGCCTGCAGTACCACGCGCCTACACTGACCCACGATCGCATCCAGCCTTGAACGCATGCTTTGCCCTGCACATTTCGTCGCCACGAAACCATTAATCTCGTCCTCGAGCTTGCTCGGAGCTCCTTTGACCTGGTAAGATGCGAGGCTAGCGATCCCCATGAGCGAGTCCTCATGCCATTCCCACCCGTCTGCGACAGCCTGCACCCCTTCGGGATCGTCGCCCCCGCAGACGTACGAGACCCATCGCGGAAGGACACACGGAGCGCACGATGATCGACGGACTTCAGAACAAGTGACGTGAGCCATTCGATCCGCAGCTTGCGCCTCGGATCAGGCCCGCGCCGTGGACAACAGGTGCCACACGGCCGCCTCCGTGCCGTGCTCCGCCAACTCCGTACTCCAGATTTCGTAATAAAGGGAGGGGGGTCTCATTTCGGGGGGGGGTCTCTTCCAGGCTATCTTGGAGGGCCTGGGGGGTCTGGGGACGATGTTTTGGAGGGTTCTCCCACGGGGGAGGTCTGAAATGGCTTGTCTTGGAGGGTCCAGACCCCCCCCCTTCTATTACGAAATCTGGAGTAGCCGCTTCAGCGTGCTTGCGCTCCCTGCCCCACTCGCATGCGCCATCTAACAGGGGCCCCACCATCCTGCTGACCTTGAGCCTGTCCCCCCCCCCACGTAGGAGAGGCAGACCAGCTTGGTACCGTTCGTCGTGAGCTCAGCAATGACGGGCCTGTGCGGTTTGATGGACCGTGCGATGTCCGCCTTCACTTTGCCTCCCCTGGCTGGCATTGCACGTCTCGATGACATGCGACGCCGGTGCCTCCTGCGGTGCGCCCGGCCACCTGCCATCTCCTGCATCAGCCGCGCTGTGGGATCCACGTCCACCGGCATCGCCTCCGCCATGCCCACCATCAGGAGTCGAAGGAGCAGGAGCGCAGCACCCACCAAACCACCCCAACCCAACCCGAAGGTCTCGATTTGCCCTCCATTTCCAGTTGGGGGGGGTCGGGGAACATCGAGAAAACACGTATGGAACCCGTACCCCCCCCAACCCGACATTCGGGTCTTCGGGTTGGGTTGGGGTGGTCTGGTAGGTAGTCAGGAGCGCAGCACGGGAGCCCGGCGCCCGAGCGTGGCCGGGATGCCGCGCCGGCACACCCGCTCCACCTTGCCGAAGAGGGGGTTCGCCATATGAACACCAGGTAGAGCTCGTACAGCGAGACCGCGTCGTGTCGACCGGCGGCAACCCCAGCGCGGGCGTCTCAGGCTGAACGCCGCCCGTGGCCCAGAGTCGGCCCGTCGTCGAGCGATCCCCAGGAGGGAAAAAAGACACACAGAGACACAATGAATCGTCGATTCGCCCGAAAATCTGGGAAGATGTGGGGAGTGGGGGGGAGGACAGAAGTGCGACAGCTCTTTTCCGTCCGCTTCCGGTTCTGTGCTTGCGTTCCCCTCAGTCGGGCCGCCAGCGTCAGCCCCCAATGAGGGTCATTTTGTCCCTGGCATGTGCACTCGCTTCAGCGGCCTATGCGCCTCTGCAGCCAATTATCTCGCTCTGTGCCCCAGTCGAGTCAATCCCGCTTCCTGGATCTGTCCTTGGAGCCGCCAATCAAAAAAGGGAGGACAGAAACCCAGAAAAGATATGGAACGGCCGATCGCTCAGGTCTGAGCGATCCCCGCGGCGTCGGGAGCCAACGCAAGGTGGTCGGCACGACGCGAGCCTGCCGCACGCTACACGTAAGAGTGGCCCTTGACCAGAGTGACCTTTCGTGTTGGCCCTAATGGTTCAGGAGGGAAAGAAACACACAGACACAATTAATCCTCGATTCCCCCGAAAATATAGGAATATATGGGAAGTGGGGGGGAAGACAGAAACCCCGAAAATATTGGAAAATATGGGGAATCCTTTTATTTGTGTGTATTTATTTGTGTGTCCCAGGGCCCCTTCACGAATGGTGTCGGACAGATTTTCTTGAGGAGTGCGCTCGGCCTCGTGTCGGCGCACGCTGCACCAGTCTGCGATCGCATCAGAGCGCGCTTGATTCGGGGTGCGCCCCTCGCAGTCGATCGCAACGCATGCACGGTGTATTCTGCCGCGTGCTTCGTTTGGCGAGGGGGGGCCCAGTCGAGCGGGCGACGTGCTCTCCGCTTTGGGACTGATCCCAAATCGCCCTGGAATAACTTTGACTAACTTTGAATAACTTTTCGCATTCCGCGCTCTACATCTCATTTCTTTACTATTGAAAGTTATTTGCGGCCGCGGGGGGGGCCAAGTTTCGGCCCGGTTTCGGCCTTGACGCCGGACCCGGTCAGACGTCATCGCGATGCGGCCCGGCAGTGCCAGAACATTCCGCGGTGGCGCCCGATTACGTCTGGTTTCGCAGAGCCCTCGGGCTGGTGTTCTGGGGCGCCCGGAACGAATTGGCGGAAGTCCGCAATTGCCTGCTGGCCCCACCGATCGTTGATGCAATCCGACGGCCTCGGCTTGCGTGGTTGCTCCAGGCCCCCACGGGTCCCCCTAAGGCCGCGCACCAAAGGGCACTCTTGCCTAGGGTCACTCTTACGTGAGACTACCGGGTCGTCACTGATGCCGCTGCCCTCCTGGTCCAGCAGTAAGACGCCCCCTGGGATCTCAACGGACCTCGCCGCGGGCCTCGCCGCCACCGATCTTTGCCGCATGCTCCGCCACCTCCTTCGCGAGGACGTCCTCTTCCTTCTTATCGGCCTCGATGGCGCTCTTCTTGTCCGATGGTTCCTGCTGAATATCTTCCAGTCGTTGCTCAGTGGATGCCAACTGGTTTTTGGCACGAGTGACTCTGGCCCTTGACGCGCTCCAACGTCTGACTGCTCTGAGTGTGCGCCGTGGCAGGAGTGCGCAGGTCCCGGATCTGGTGCCTCGTGGACTCCAGCTTCGCATTGATCGGATCGCCCACATCGTGCTCACCGCGGTCAGTGAACAGCTTGACTGACCTCTCATACCCGTTGACCTTCTCCTGCAGATCGGCACGCAGCGCGAAGTTGGAGGTCTCGCAGGCGTCCTGGCTCCCGCCCTCGACCTCCATGCTGTCCTAACGGCTGTCCCTGTCGTCCTTCGCATTCTCGAGCCGCTTGTTCTCCACCCGCATCTGGTCGAGCTCACTGTGCAGACGCTCGCTGGAGCTCCTTGGCCTCCTCGCTCCACGGCGCCGCCTTGGGCCGCAGACCTGCCCCTCCAGCTGAGCGGGAAGGAGGAACCTGCCCCCCAGTGAAGGTTCGCGTGCTTCTCGATCAGCCGTCTTTGCCTTGGCGACGAGGTTCGTTGGCGCCGTCTTCCCAGAGCGGCAGACCACCCTGCACGCCCGGCTGCTTGTGGCTCCGCAGCAGCAGCCCCACGTTGGATGTGTTGCCCGTCGGAGCACACGTGGTCGTACAGCCTCTGGCGGTTTCGGCGCCATGCTGCCCGCCGAGGAGCCGCGGTGGCCGTTGAGCCTCTCGGCCGCGCCTTGCTGGGCGCTGACTTGCCCGCCCAGGCGTGCAGCAGCGCGCGGTCCGCAGCTCGGCGGAGTCGCGTTCGGTGATGAGCGGCTGCCTCGCGAGGCACCGCCGTGGCCGAGCACTGACTTCTGCGCGCGGGTGGGGGGGCCCTCGCCTGCGCTGGCAGGGCACCCAGGGGGGCGCACCTCGCGGGCCGAAACTGGAGAAGGAGGAGAGAAGGAGCTGGTGAGTGAGGGACGGAGGGTGTCGCCCATCCCCCAACCCCACCCTCTTCCCCCTGGAGAGCGCACGGCACTAGCACAGGCCACATTTCCCAGGGCCGCTCCAGGGTCAACGCGGGCCCCATGGCGCTGCGTCGCTGCATGAGAGCCACACTCAGCTGCCGCTGAAAGCCCGGAGTCCGTCAGGCCAGAGGAGCAGAAAAAAGAGGATGAGGGGGCCAGCCAGCTCTAGAAATTGGGAGGGAAACAAACAGAAAGCACCTTTCCTCCGCACCGTTTTGCTTTGACCTCAGCATTTGGCCCGCTTCGCACCACATCGGACCAGGCAGCCAAGTTGCGAACCTTATGTGCACAATCTTATCAGCATTCGGGGCGCGCCTCCTTGTCCTTCGTCCTCCTCGTTCCGCCTCCCTCATCCTCGTCATCATCACCATACGTTTCCCTAAGCTCTGCTACGTCTCCTCCATCCTATTCGTTTCCCTCCTCATCCGGTCAGGCCAGCGACGCCGACACCAGCATTGCGGGCACCGTATTGTCGGCAGCCGAGGCGTGCCCTACAAG